GAATGAAATTAAGACACATGTGCAACATCTGGGTATCTTTATTGTAGACGTTTCGCCATCCAGTGGCTTTATCAATACAAATTCCAGGACATAACTTGAAGACAGTAGGACTATATACAGAAGAAGAGGTAATCAGTCCCTCAACCTTGGAGTAGGTGCGAAGAGCACCATAGACTATAGTGTTCGTCTACAATAAAGACACCAGATGTTGCACATGTGTCTTAATTTCATCTTGTCGGTATTATATACCATTCTTGCACAGATATTCGAGAATCACAAAAAAATATATGATTCTTATACAATATTCCAAGGCAGAAATACCAACTAATTGCTACAAGAAAGTACACTATAAAATAAGAATGTATGACCTTGGTCTGTGTCAACATTATAAATATTCTCTGGAGATATTTAAATAATGAATGTCACAGGATTGTAATTAAATGCCTGAGTAGATCTATAACTCACTATGATAACAAGACTGTAGATAAACACATTTACAGAACAACTTGCAATATAAACAAAGTGACGTAGTAGCCAGGCTTAGGCTTGGTCATAAGTGCATTCGGCAGTTCGGCATATATAAGGATGACGACCAAGCGAAATGTCAAGTTGATGAGTAAGACACCTGAGTATCTTCACTTGAGAGATGTTTCGCCTACCATGGGAAGGGGGGGGGTGGACTTTATCAACCAAGTATATAATTATCACACAGCCTTCGCGACTGATGGGTGAATATAATGAAGTGTGGAGTAGCGTCATTGAGGCGAAAACTTTGGGTTGGACAGGCACAAGAGTGGGTGTGAGTTGGACCTGTGGAAAAGACACTTCTCTACAGTTAAAGACATTTATTAAAGAGAACGTTTCACCACAAGTGACTTCTTCAGTCCTAATGCAGAGAAAACTGCGATAAGCGCGATCAAGGTATAATAGCATACGAGTACTGAAGGAAGTACTGGAAAAGTGGGCAGATGGATCGCCCACAATTGAAAATAGGCTGATTGGTCTATAGTTTGAAGCTAACGATCTATCTCCCTATTTGCAAATAGGTATCAGGTTTGTCAATGTCCATTTATCTAATAAGATACTCCTTTATAACCCTTGAAAACAGTTCGTCAGGACCGGGTGACTTACTGGCTTAATCTCTCTTAAGAACCATGTCACTAGTGACTTTGATCAAAGTTTATTTAGGTACAAATACACATAATTACAGTTACACAAATTATTATATATAGTAACGTGTACATTATCTAGGATAACCCACAAAAAAAGTCAAAGTCCACTGGGGTTCTGCATATTTTTCATCCTGACCTCTAAAATTATTGATTCCCGGAACTTAATTTGCATCTCTTGCGTAAAAACAGAAAGGAAATTAGTGTTAAAAGTGGTACACACTTCACTAACACAGCTGACCAACAGACTCCTAGCTGCCTACAAGAGGGAGCTGGATACATTGAACATTAAAATGGTATAAAATACCGACAAGTTGTTAGGTAAGACATATATGCAACAGTTAGGCATCTTTATTTCGAAACGTTTCGCCTACACAGTAGGCTTCTTCAGTCGAGTACAGAAAAGGATAGACCACCTCAAAACTTAAGGGATGATATCGTTACATCGCTTAAGTATTTCGGGTTCTATCACTTTTCTGTACTCGAGAAGAAGCCTACTGTGTAGCGAACGTTCGAATAGGATACTAATGTTGCTCATGTGTCTACTAACAGCTGATACATACCTGGAGGTATTCCGGGGATCACGCCCCCGCGCCGTCCAGACCAGCTCATGGATCAGGGCCTGATCAACTAGGCTGTTACTGCTGGCCGCACGCAGTCCAACGTACGAGCCACAGCCCGGCTGATCCGGCTGATACCTACAGTCAGTACCCGATCAACTGTAAATTATTTACTGAATAATTTAAAGTGAGTGTCCGGGTTCGATTCCCAGCAACGGGTTGAAACATTCGGTGTGTTTCCTTACACTGGTTATCCATTTTCACCCATCAGTATAAAATGGGTACCTGGGTGTTAGTCGACTGGTGTGGGTCGCATCCTGGGACAAAACTGACCTAATTTGCCCAAAATACTCTACATAACAAGCGGCTTTCTATATAGTACTATGTTATTGATGTCAGCTATGGTCTGTATACCTTGTACATGTACTGGTAGAAATAGATATTATATATCATATTATTATGGTATATCCACCAGGAGTCCACCTGGAGGGTATTCCGGGGATCAACGCCCCCGCGGCCCGGTCCATGACCAGGACTCCTGGTGGATCAGGGCCTGATCAACGAAGCTGCTACTGCTGGCCTCACGTAGTGAAACGTACGAACCACAGCCCGGCTCATCTGGCACTGACTTTAGGTATCTGTCCATTATTATTATAATCAAGGTGGAAGCGCTAAACCCGTAGGATTATACAAAACCTGTGGGGGGATGTGGAAGGTATTCAGGCTTAATTCAGAAATTATTATTATATTATAATCATGGGGAGCAATAAACCCTTAGGATTATACAGTTAATTCAGAGAATTGGAGCACCGATCTAATTCCCTATATCAAGAGCCCCTCACTAGCGTCAAGGAACCTTCCTTGAGGGGAGGTATCTGTCCAGCTCCCTCCTGAAGACAACTAGGCGTCTATTGGTAATGCCCCTTGTGGCTGGTGGGAGGCTGTTGAACAGTTTTGGGCCCCGGACACTTATTGTGTTTTCTCTTAGTGGACCAGTGGCGCCCCTACTTTTCACTGGGGGTATGTTGCATCGCCTGCCAAGTCTTTTGCTTTCGTATGGAGTGATTTCTGTGCGCAGTTTACAGACCAGTCCCTCCAGGATCTTCCAGGTGTAGATTACGATGTATCTGGCCTGTGAGTACAAGTCACGTGCTTCCAGGCGTTCCCAGTAGTTAAGGTGTTTGATGGAATCATATGTGCAGTAAAGGTTCTCTGTACATTCTCTAGATCTGCAACTTCACCTGCCTTGAATGGAGATGTTAATGTACAGCAGTATTCCAGCCTAGAGAGAATAAGTGATTTAAAAAGGATCATCAAAGGCTTGGCATCTCTTGTCTTGAATGTTCTCATTATCCATCCTATCAGTTTCGCAGATTATAGTGGCACTTTTGTGATCCTTGAAAGTGAGATCCTCAGACATTACCACACCCAAGTCCTTCACATTATTTTTCCGCTCTATTGTGTGATTGGAGTTTGTAGTATACTCAGTCCTAGTTATTATTTCCTCCAGTTTTCCATAACGGAGTAGTTGGAATTTGTCTTCATTGAATATCATAGTCTCTGTTGCCCATGGAAAACTTGGTTTATATCTTCTTGGAGCTTTGCCGTGTCCTCAATGGATGACACTCTCATGCAGATCCTAGTATTGTCTGCAAAGGATGATACAGTGCTATGGTTTACATCTCTGTCTATGTCTGATATGAGAATAAGGAACAGGATAGGTGCGAGTACTGTGCCTTGTGGAACAGAGCTCTTCACTATGACAGCTTCCAATTAAACTCTGTTTACCACTACTCTTGGTAATAGATACCAACAAATTGGTTTAGAAATACTTGTCAGCAAACACTAGGATATATTTATTACAAAATGTTTCGGTCCTGGGACCTTGATCACTTCTGATCAAGGTCCCATGATCTAAAATTTTCTCTTAAATATGTCCTAGTGTTCGCTCACGTGTCTTTCTAAAGCAATAATTTACAACCCTGAACGTTTCAGGTAGACGTGCCTAGCATGGGCTAGTACGCTTACAGCAGTGGTATTCCTTCATTACCACTCACGTTCACGTACCCTCTGATAAGATGACAACACAGGAAACACTGCAACATATATAGGCGTCAACACCACAATGTCAAGGGCGCTTCCTTGTGTTCACCTTGACCAGAGGAATGAAGCTCACACCACAAGTATCAGCCATAATATTACATCCAAAGGATACCCCCCCCCCATGCAAATAAGTCACTTTTTGTCTGAGTTTTCTTTGGGTTATTCTAGGTAATTCATACACTGATGATTACGACACATGTGCAACAGATATCTTTATAGTTGAAACGTTTCGCCTACATAGTAGGCTTCTTCAGTCAGATACAAACAGCGAGTGTAGTAGTGAAATAAAGGTGATGTAATTAGTCCATCAACCCTTGGACAAATAATATCTGAGGTGGTCAGTCCCCATGTATGATAATTTGTGTAACTGTATTTGTGTGTACCTGTACCTAAATAATACCAGTTGACGAGACTTAAGAGGCACGTAACTTCCCTCGTCTTCTAATATCATGTTCATTTTCCCACTATAATCTACCTTGTATATAATTACTATCACATTTGCTTTGTCTGTTTCGTAAGGTGAAGTCCAGGATCTTCCTTATCAATGGTAAGTCCAAATCTTTACGACAACTGTGTTTGAGGTCTGGTTAATATATTGTCTTTACACAACATTCTTTATACAAACTTGTTGTAGTCTACTACATACTATTTCCTCACAACACTAATTGTCCTCTACAACACTTTTCTTCTACAACACATTGTCTTCTACAACACATTGTCTTCTACAACACTAATTGTCCTCTACAACATAATGTCTGAGCTCTACAATACTATTGTCTTCTACAACACTATTGTCTTCTACAACACTATTGTCTTCTACAACACTAATGTCTTCTACAACACTATTGTCCTCTACAACACTATTGTCCTCTACAACACTATTGTCCTCTACAACACTATTGTCCTCTACAACACTATTGTCCTCTACAACACTATTATCCTTAAGGAAAGTTCCTGGACTTCACCTTACGAAACGAAGCAAATTCCATAGTAATTATGAACAAGGTAGATTATAGAGGAAAAATGAACATGTCAGAAGACCGGGGAGCTAACGTGCCTCTTAAAAACTCTTCAAAACGATAAGTCAGAAAATGCATGATACTGTGGGGAGAAGGTTGAAGATATCTCACTCGAGGGACCAAGAAGGATCCCAGGACAACATACTCACACTGTAGGCTCCGTGGGGGAGGAACTGCAGGGCAGAGGGGTATGTGTATGGCTCTCCCTTGGTAGAAAGTAATGCCTCCCTCACTGATACATGCAGAAGGAATCCACTATGGTGTGTTGAGAGGAGCAGCAGCGACAGCACACGTGAGAGGACAGTGTTAGGAGGATGCTGTTGTCACCGCCGCTCCCTCCCCGCCAGATTACAATCCTCACTGTTTATCCCGCTTGTCCTTTTATCCCCGCCTACTCGTGTACCAGGGGCACGGTAAACCAGGTAACAGTGTTAGAACCGGGGAGGGTAGTGAAGGTTCAGTGGGTGAGAGCTGGGGTAGTAGTAGCAATGGTAGCAGCAGCAACAGCAGCAGCTGGGGGAGGGAGGAGCTGAAGAGCGACACAACCCACCACGCACGACTCAACAACTACACTGAGACTAATACACGTGGTACCATGTGTGTACCACCACCACCACCACCCCCCATCCCCCTCCCCCAACAAAAAGGCCCCACTCCCCTCCCCATCCCCCCAACAATGGGTCTCAAACCCCCCACCAACAAGGAAACCAAATCCCCCTCCAATCCTCTACCACCAGTACTCGGACCACCCTACCCTACTCTCTCTCTCTCTCTCTCCATCAGCTTCCACTCCATTCATTTTTCTCACGGTTTTCTCCTGCCCCTTATTCTCCCTACTACCACCAGCCTCCCTGCCACCTCCCTTCTCCATATTACCACTCCAGGAATGAAGCCTCCACCACTTACCACTCTACATGCATGAAGCCTCCACCACTGTTACCACTCTACATGCATGAAGCCTCCACCACTTACCACTCTACATGCATGAAGCCTCCACCACTTACCACTCTACATGCATGAAGCCTCCACCACTGTTACCACTCTACATGGATGAAGCCTCCACCACTGTTACCACTCTACATGCATGAAGCCTCCACCACGTTACCACTCTACATGGCATGAAGCCTCCACCACTGTTACCACTCTACAGGCATGAAGCCTCCACCACTGTTACCACTCTACATGGATGAAGCCTCCACCACTGTTACCACTCTACATGCATGAAGCCTCCACCACTGTTACCACTCTACATGCATGAAGCCTCCACCACTGTTACCACTCTACATGCATGAAGCCTCCACCACTGTTACCACTCTACATGCATGAAGCCTCCACCACTGTTACCACTCTACATGCATGAAGCCTCCACCACTTACCACTCTACATGCATGAAGCCTCCACCACTGTTACCACTCTACATGCATGAAGCCTCCACCACTGTTACCACTCTACATGCATGAAGCCTCCACCACTGTTACCACTCTACAGGCATGAAGCCTCCACCACTGTTACCACTCTACATGGATGAAGCCTCCACCACTGTTACCACTCTACATGCATGAAGCCTCACCACTGTTACCACTCTACATGGATGAAGCCTCCACCACTGTTACCACTCTACATGCATGAAGCCTCCACCACTGTTACCACTCTACATGCATGAAGCCTCCACCACTGTTACCACTCACATTTCATGAAGCCTCCACCACTGTTACCACTTACATGCATGAAGCCTCCACCACTGTTACCATCTACATGCATGAAGCCTCCACCACTGTTACCACTCCACTTGCATGAAGCCTCCACCACTGTTACCACTCTACATGCATGAAGCCTCCACCACTGTTACCACTCTACATGCATGAAGCCTCCACCACTGTTACCACTCTACATGCATGAAGCCTCCACCACTGTTACCACTTACATGCATGAAGCCTCCACCACTGTTACCACTCTACATGCATGAAGCCTCCACCACTGTTACCACTCTACATGCATGAAGCCACCACCACTGTTACCACTACATGCATGAAGCCTCCACCACTGTTACCACTACATGCATGAAGCCTCCACCACTGTTACCACTCTACATGCATGAAGCCTCCACCACTGTTACCACTCTACAGCATGAAGCCTCCACCACTGTTACCACTCTACATGCATGAAGCCTCCACCACTGTTACCACTCTACAGGCATGAAGCCTCCACCACTGTTACCACTCTACTTGCATGAAGCCTCCACCACTGTTACCACTCTACAGGCATGAAGCCTCCACACTGTTACAACTCTACATGCATTTAAGCCTCCACACTTTACCACTCTACATGCATGAAGCCTCCACCACTGTTACCACTCTACATGCATGAAGCCTCCACCACTGTTACCACTCTACATGCATGAAGCCTCCACCACTGTTACCACTCTACATGCATGAAGCCTCCACCACTGTTACCACTCTACATGCATGAAGCCTCCACCACTTACCACTCTACATGCATGAAGCCTCCACCACTTTACCACTCTACATGCATGAAGCCTCCACCACTTACCACTCTACATGCATGAAGCCTCCACTTCCCTTGTCATGGCTTGTGTGCCAGTCACTGGAAAAAGAAGACAAGGCAAGTGATAGTGAATAATACAGCAGAAGAGGTCAGGGCGTGACCTGGGACAACCAGGGAGAAGGGGAAAGATGTGGAGAGAGAGAGATGGTGCGTGCGGGGGAAAGGAGAGGAGAGGAGAGAGAGAGAGAGAGAGAGAGAGAGAGAGAGAGAGGAGAGAGAGAGAGAGAGAGAGAGAGAGAGAGAGAGAGAGAGAGAGAGAGAGAGAGAGAGAGAGAGAGAGAGAGAGAGAGAGAGAGAGAGAGATAATGCGGGTGTCTTTGAGTGGGGACTTCTGGCAAAACTACAAGCATTAGGAATTCCCTGCTCCACTCGACACCTGCTTACTAACTGCTTCCAAGGTCTTAATGGAGTTGTAATAATAAATATTTATTTCTACCAGTACATGTACAAGGTATACAGACCATAGTTGACATCAGTGATATACTACTATATAAACAACCGCTTGTCATGCAGAGCATTTCAGGCAAATTAGGTCAGTTTTGTCCCAGGATGCGACCCACACCGGTCGACTAACATCCAGGCTCCCATTTTTACTGATGGGTGAATATGGACAACCGGTTTAAGGAAACATGCCCAATGTTTCCACCCTTTGCTGGGAATCGAACCCGGATCTCACCGTGTGAAGCGATAGCTCTCGCCACCAGGCCACGGGTTACCATAAGACAGGATGCCACCCATGCACTGTTTACTTTAACGACCAACTTCACCTGATTCCTGAAACCCAGCCCTATTCAGATGACAGCAATATGACATGAGAGGAGAGGCTTACTGCTGTCAGTCATGTTATTCACCAGCCTGCAGCTGTACCACATACGGCTAGTGGGTAAGTGGGAATGGTTGGTTTAGAGAAGGACCTGCCTAGTTTGGGCCAGGAGGCATGCCAAAAAACAAAGCAAAACCATATCTAGTATAAGGTCCCTGCTCAGACAAGACGGATCCTACACAGATAAGAAAGAAATGAGTGAGATACTGAAATCTCAATGACTCTTTGTTCAGCGAGCCACTAATCAGTCTAAAGATAAACAATCCAAACAATCTTTTTCATGAATGAGCCTGAAAATCCAGTCAATGTATGCCAAATTTCTGACATAACCCTAACTCCACTAGACTTTGAGAAAGCCGTTGACGACATGCCCATGCACTCAGCCCCAGGCCCAGACTCGTGGAACTCTGTGTTCATTAAGAACTGCAGGAAACCCCTCTCACGGTCCGTAAGTATGCTATGGAGAAGGGCCATGGACACAGGTGAGGTTACACAGTCACTAAAAACAACGGATATAGCCCCACTCCATTAAGGTGGCAGCAAATCAACAGCTAAGAACTATAGATCCACATCATCAAAATCTTTGAAAGGGTTCTAAGAAGCAGGACTGCAAACCACTTGGACTCCCAACAACTGCACAATCCAGGGCAACATGGGTTCAGAACAGGTCGCTCCTGCCTCTCGCAAGTACTGAACCACTATGATATGGTCTTGGATGCACTGGAAAACAAACAAAATGCAGAGGTAGTAAACACAGATTTTGCAAGAGCCTTTGACAAGTGCGATCATGGTGTAACAGCACATAAAATGCGTGCTAAGGGGATAACTGGCAAAGTGAGCAGATGGATCTTCAACTTTCTAACCAATCGAACACAAAGAGTAGTGGCAAACAGAGTTAAATCGGAAGCTGTCATAGTGAAGAGCTCTGTTCCACAAGGCACAGTACTCGCACCTATCCTGTTCCTCATTCTCATGTCAGACAAAGACAGAGATGTAAACCATAGCACCGTATCATCCTTTGCAGACGATACTATGATCTGCACGAGAGTGTCGTCCATTGAGGACACCTGCTACCTGGAGTCTACCTGGAGGGCATTCCGGGGATCAATGCCCCCGCGGCCCGGTCCACGACCAGGACTCCCGGTGAATCAGGGCCTGATCAACGAGGCTGTTACTGCTGGCCGCACGCAATCCAACGTACAAGCCACAGCCCGGCTGATCCGGCACCGTCTTTAGGTATCTGTACAGCTCCCTCTTGAAGACAACCAGGGGTCTTCCCGTAATGCCCCTTATTGCTGGTGGGAGGCTGTTGAACAGTCTTGGGCCCCGGACACTTATTGTGTTTTCTCTTAGTGTACTGACGCCCCTACTTTTCACTGGGGGTATGTTGCATCACCTGCCAAGTCTTTTGCTTTCGTAGGAAGTGATTTGTGTGTGTAGATTAGCGACCAGTCTCTCCAGAATCTTCCAGGTGTATTATGATATATCTCTCTCGCCTGCGCTCTAGTGAGTACAAGTCAAGTGCTTCCAGGCGCTCCCAGTAGTTAAGGTGTTTGATGGAACTTATACGTGCAGTAAAGGTTCTCTGTACATTCTCTAGTTCTGCAATTTCACCTGCCTTGAATGGGGATGTTAATATACAACAGTATTCCAGCCTAGAAAGAATAAGTTATTTAAAAAGGATCATCATTGGCTTAGCATCTCTTGTCTTGAATGTTCTCATTATCCATCCTATCAGTCTCCTAACAGATGTGATAGTGGCATTGTTGTGTTCCTTGAAGGTGAGGTTTTCAGACATTACCACACCTAGGTCCTTCACATTACTTTTCCGCTCTATTGTGTGATTGGAGTTTGTAGTATACTCAGTCCTAGTTATTATACTTCCTGATAGGATGGATAATGAAAACATTCAAGACAAGAGATGCCAAGCCAGTGATGATCCTTTTTAAATCATTTGTTTTGTCTAGGCTGGAATACTGCTGTACATTAACATCCCCATTCAAAGCAGGTGAAACTGCAGATATAGAGTATGTACAGAGAACCTTTACTGCACGTATAAGTTCCATCAAACACCTTAACTACTGGGAATGCTTGGAAGCACTTGACTCATACTCACTGGAGTGTAGACGAAAGAGATACATCATAATCTACACCTGGAAGATCCTGGAGCG